CAAAACATATGAACTGTATTCAACAAATACTGTATAATGATAAAGGTTTCTTGAGCAGTAAATTAGCATATGATTTCTAAAGGACCATGTGGCACTGAAGACGAGTAATGATGCTTAAAGTGCCCCTATTATGGGAAATGAAAGGTTCATATTTTGGTTTTGGGAGTCCCAACAACAGGTTGACATGCATGCAAGGTCAAGGAACACTTTCATTGTCTTATAATATGCATTTATTTTTACCTTACTTGCTCAACGTCAACGACTCCCAAACGATTCGCTCAACGATTCATTTTTCCAAACCCCTCCTTTGCGTGACGCTAATCTGCGGTAATTGGTCTCATTTCCATTTCATCATGCCTGTGATGCCTGATAAAGCAGCGTTTGTGAGCGCAGTGCTACTTTGTTTACAGTGTTCCCGGGGAAACCGCTATTTTTACCCCTCCAAAAGCGACACCTAGTGGCAAATAATGAATTTGCATTTTCATTCAGACCAACGCAAAAAGACCAACAAGTGGGCGGGCAATATGCTAATGTTTCATGTTCACGTCAACATGAACCGGCTTAGGATTCGGTTTAAAAACGACTCGTTTCAATGATTCAGAGTCGACTCTTTCTTTTGAGAGACAATAGGGCCTTACGCACCGCGGGAACCTTTTCATAGTACCAGAACTAATTGTGGAACTACGCATTTTTTGGCGTTTTCGCACTGCCGGAACTGGGTGCGATTTTAGTACCGGACTGCCTTTTTCGAGAAACAAATTAGCTCCCACTCTGGAGCAGGGTCTAACCAGCACAACTGGTACTAATCGTGACGTAAGTAGACATTGATTGGCCAAACACGTATGAAAACGCCCTCACCCGCCATGATTTAAAACGCTGTGTAAACATACTTTAAACATTGTGTCAACTTATTTCGCAAGTATGGAGAACAGCGATAGATGGACGGACGCTGAAGTGCAGGCACTTGTAGCAAATGTAGCACTGCCAGTTGTCGTTGGAGATTCTTAGTCCTACTTCCCGTTCTTTCAATCGCTTTACGTATACGTCGACTTTCCATGTCCAATATTGTGAAACCCGCAAGACACAACAAAAACAGCTCCAATCACAGCGTCCTCCATCCTCCTGTTGTTAATGTTGTTCTTCTTTGTTTCTGTTGTTGAACGCCGCGCACAAATGACGACGCTGTCGACCGGCTTACGTCACTTCCTAGTACACACTGTCGGTGCGAATGCAACCCTTTAAATGGTACTGGGAAATAGTTCGTGCAAAATCGTCCCAGTACTTTAGTACTCATTTAAATGCAGACTCAAAACTCATCTGTTTAGCTGTGCATTTATTGAATGAGCACTGTGCGATGTCCGAACTGATTGCACTATATTATATGTATAATCGTTTTCTTAAATTCATTTTAAACCTCTTAAATCAAATTTTTAAAAAATAATAATTTTCAAAGTTTTTTAATTCCTTGTTTTATTGTTGTGATTATTGTTTTTATTTTATTTTATGTAAAGCACTTTGAATTACCATTGTGTATGAAATGTGCAAATGTGCAAATACAAATAAACTTGCCTTGCCTTGCCTTGCCTAAAGCGGTGCGAAAGGCCCTATTGGGCCTCAATTACGAAACGGACGTACGACAGAAAATTGAGTGTACGGTCGTTTCAACGCAAAACTTGGAATTTATCAATATGGACGTGAGCGGTGGCTACGATCAAATCTCACGTCTGGTCTCAGCTTGTGTACGCAAGTTTTTGAGTTACCTGACCTTGCGCACAGCATAGTAAATACGGTGGAGAATTGTAGCATGACAGCATTTTGTTCATTTTTATTTTCCTGACCGTCAAACGAAGCTCATTAGTCGATCGTTAACCAGTAAGATTAGAATGTCTTTTTTTTCTCTTTTTTTTAATACAGGGCTTTAGCTTTATATGTGTGAATATCAGCGTAAACAAGACCGCGAGGATTCAATCGTCGCATGATGCACCTGCAGCACTTCTGTGAAAGGAGAAAAACACAAATTAATCTAGAAAAGGAATAAAATAAATAGGATCACACAAAATATATAATAGGTTATAATATAATTAACAGATTAACAAAAGGAGAAAAAAAACACTGTGCAACAAGTATAGGCTACTCTCGTTTTTGTGACACTCTTAATGCATTGTATTTCTTTTCTTTATATCTTTATTTGATTTAATCCATCTGGTCGTACAGGCGCCGCATACACACTCAAACAACATTAGTTCTAGCGTTGCCTGACATTTCAGCCATTCATCATCAAACTAAAATGCAGTCAACCAAACATAAAAGTTGCACTGTTTATTTTAAAAGGTGCGCTGTAAGGTGCAGCGCCCAAACAAACATTTTTGCGCATGTGAAGGATTTTACACGGATATTAGACCATGAGTGAAGAATAAAGCCATGTTTAGGTTACATAATGAATAATAGTTATGCAAACAAATGTTACAAATATGGCAAAAATGGAAACATTTGGATTCTTGTGGTATGAGACAGGCTCGTGAGCCCAATGCCTTTTCAGTTTTGCTTGACATATGTATGCTGTTTATAATGAATGCTACTATAGCCTAATTTGTGTTTTATTTTATAATTTAAAATGTACTGTAATTTTATAACTACTTATTTTTCATTCTTGTTCTGAATACTGTTGAATTTTAAATATTTGTTGTAGAGTGAGGGGAACTAAATTGGCTGTTTATATTTACCAGTATTTTAATATACATATAAATGACTTAATGTAGTTAATGTAGCCTAATTGTTTGCAATTACAAGGTTAATGGGTGTTTTTGGAGTAAGATCAATTTCTCTTTCATGAGACCACTTCCTCTTTTTGGCCGGGTTTCGTTTCTCTGTGTCGTAAACTCTAGGGGCGAGGCTTCTAAACCTGTTAGGTTTTCTGTTTAGGGTTAGGGGCTTAAAGGGGTCCTATTATGCTCTTTTACAATGTCTTGAATTTGTTTTGGGGGTGTACTAGAACATGCTCTCATGCTTGGTGGTTCGAAAAACTCATTATTTTTTACATAATTTACATTATTACAATACCTTTCTCCCCAGCCTGGCACAAACGGCTCGATTAGTTCTGGGTTTGATGAAGGCCCGCCTTCTGAAAAACGAAATGTGCTGTGATTGGTTAGCTGTCCCAGTGCGTTGTGATTGGCGAACAGCTTAGACAGTGTTTCAGTACTGCCAAAGCACCAAGTTCCGTCTGTTCCGTATAGTTAAGGATGGCATCAATATCGCCATATCAATTTGAGCTGGATTCAGACCCAGAGAATATTGAACAAGAGGATCGCGCAGAACCTTTGCACGGATATTGCAAGACACATTAGAGTGGTAACGTTATTGTTGTTGTTGCTGTTGTTGTTTTTTGGCTAAATCACGTTTTAGATAGGATGTCAACAACCGCTTAAAAATAACTGCATTTACTATGTACAGATAAGTGCATATGTATTATTTTTATTGTTTATTTAATTCTAACATTATAACATGAATTGCAGTGAAACTGTTATCAGTTGAATTTATTTATACCATAGTCCAGTGTTTCCCCGGCAGCATATATATGCAAACTCATTCTCTGCCGGCAGCAGGCGCTGTTGGAGTGGCAGAGATCGAGGTTTCCCCGGTAAGGGCTGTACACAAAGCAGCGCTCCACTCAGAAAAACACTGCTTTATCAGACATTACATGCAAGATTAAATGAAAATGACATCCAATTTTCTGAAGACAGTCGGTTTCCTTCAGAAATACAGTGATATAAAAACACCCGCACTCAATGTATGGGAAACACTATAGCCTTATAGTTGAAGTGTAAATTCTGCAGATTACATCATTGTCCAGTATTGTACTGTAAGCAATTAATTATAAAAACGTTTTCATAATTGTAACATACATATTTACATACATAAATATTCAGGTGCATGTGTAATAACTTGCGAAAACTTGAGGCTACAGCAGCACTTCTTCATCATCGTCGTCTTGTCTGATGCACTCAACCAAGCGTTCTAACCACAACCTCGCCCCTCCCCAACCATTACAATTTCCGTAGGCGGGAATTATTTTAATGATATTCTAGTGGGCCACTTTGTGATATCACAAAACCTGGAAACCAACGCTGTAGTCCAAACGAGCCGTTCGTTGTAGTTCTTGAAAAGAGATTTTTTTTAAACGAAATATCTCCCTTTGGAGTGGACTTTGAGATTTGTAAGTTTGAAGATCTTTTTTATACCCAAACATACACACTACACACTGACTAAAATAAAAAAAGTGAAGGACCCCTTTAAAAAAAAAAATCTGTTTTTAGAGGCGTGATATTCAAATGACGATTGTTTTCTGTCACCACATTTATCAACATGCGATCATTCATTCTGATCATATGATGAGATTGGCGGCATACGAATGTTTCATGAATCACACGTGAACTCTGTCGTAAGTTGGTTTGTGCGCACGGATCTGCTCTCGTTTCTACGTTAGATTGATAAGTGAGGCCCAATATGTTTATACACGGTGCACTTTCAGATTTAAATCTTTGCAGGATGGTTTCATTCACATATGTTACACACTGCATGAAAGGTACTTTTCAAAAATCCATAATAGGGACACTTTAAAATTCAGCTTTGCATCACAGAAATAAATTACATTTTAAAATAGCGTTCTACTGTACGGACGTAAATGTACTTTCCCTTCAGCCTGAGGCTTATTCATTTCACTTTTGGTGTGCAAAGGCTTTTATATTTGCCAAAAATATAACTTTTTTTTTTTTATTTTAAAAACAAACAAGCAAGCCCTGTCCACATTTGAAAAGTAACGCAAAAGTAACATAACGCATTACTTTCCATAAAAAGTAACTAAGTAACGTAATTAGTTACTTTTTTTATGGAGTAACGCAATATTGTAATACATTACTTTTAAAAGTAACTTTCCCCAACACTGGCACCAGTTGCCATTCCTAATATTTGCACTTGGGCCTGTTATTTACATGCTAAACATGTTGTAATTATATGAGATAAATCGCAATTATACATTATTATATTCATATATAAATATTATGTATTCCTTGCTCTCTGACTAGACGGCAGGCAAAGTATGCAACCTGTAGTGAGAATCACGGTATCCGTCCGCCTGCTCCTGAGCAGTATCTTACCCCACTGCAGCAGAAGGAAGTGTGTATTCGCCACTTACAAGCTCGGCTGAAAGAAAATGTGGAGAGGCTTCAGGACCGGTCAGTAATGCTTCTATCTCTCAATATCCTGTCAGTGGAGTTTTATAGCTTCGGGTCATCCTGAGTATTATTCATCCGGACATATATAGCAGAACCTATCCTGCATCTGAATATACCTACTTCCCTACTATGTGGTATGTGAAACGATCATTTCATAAAGCGCAAAGGAAACTACGAGCATGCAATGTTGTAGTTATGTCGTCATGAAGTTAACAAAAAGGCGAATAAAGCTGCCTTAAAACTGTGCATGCATGTATTTGTTATATACGAGTCTCATTTAAGAACTTCATCTAACACACCCGATTCAACTCGTCAGCTCATTACTAGAGATTAAGACCTCAAGTGGGTCAGAAAAGGTAAAGGGTTGTGAGAAAATACGATGTGTGTCAGACCCGTGTCACATTCAGCAGCGGCTGCTCTTAAATAGCAGCCAAATAAGCTAATAACCAGCAGCTGTGATGTCTGTTAATAAAAATATATATATAAAAATCAATAACTTTTGTAGCTTTAAGGATTCATCTATATTTAATTTAGAATTTAGTGTTTGATAACTTTATTCAATTTCTGTATATTTTCTACTTGCTGAAGGGCACAGGTAAATATGACATTTATTATAATGGGTTTATGAGAAGATTGATTCAAGTTCACTTAAATGTTCAAATTGATAGCTCTCAATTATACTGTAATGTTGAACGGTTATAGTCAATGGTTAAATATTAGGGGCGGGGGGGATTCCTAGTTTTGGTATCAGTGATACTCGCATTCAGTCATAAAAAAGATGCCATTAAAATAATTAAAATACTGTCTTTATGATGTTTCTACATTAATTTGAAGTTTGAATGTGAAATTAATTTAAAAAATTACGATTAATTTGTTAATGTTTTTAAATTGATTGACAGCGCTAGTCTGAATTTATAATATTAATAAAACATTATCTTACTACAAACATTCATACCTTATGGAATACTTTTTAACAGACGTGAAGTTCAAATCAAATGTAGTACCTACTACACAGTATGCTATTTCGAACACAGAGTCTCTGCCATGGTAAAAAAAACAAGGGCATAGAAATAAATCTAGTGCTGAGATCGAGGAGTTACGGATGCAGCTGACTCGGATGCAGGACGATTGGATCGAGGAGGAATGTCATCGCATAGAGGCCCAGCTGGCCCTGAAAGAGGCCCGGAAGGAGATTCGGCAGCTTCAGCAGGCTGTGGAAACCGTTAGGTCCAATCTGGGGCCCCATGAGGTAGATCAACAGGACTGTAAATCTGAAGGTCTAGGCGTCGGTAGGATAGGCCCACGATTTGGGGCATCCAGGTCTTGTGGCTGCTCTCCGGCCCACACCATGAGCCGCAGCGCCACCTTCACCAGGCTGAGCAGTGACACGTCACCTGGTGCTACAGATCGCAATGGAAATGTACGTTCTGATCGCTACATTCCCGCCAACAGAGGGGCGATGACGTTACCAAGAGGGGACGGACGTACTCCTCTACTTCTAGAAGCAGCTCTACTGTCTGAGCAAGTTCCTCACGCAACGCTATGCTCCACTTTGTCACGATCCTCCACCGGCGAGAGATTGTGCAGCGGAGAGACGGTGTTGCCTGTTAGCCGATCCTGCCATGCTGTTAACAACAACTGCAGCTGTGCTCCACATGCCTACCTCCCACCCCACCATTTGTTTTTGCACCTCCCACAGGAGGAAGCACCACCTCCTCCTCCGCTGCCTCCTCCACAACCGCCAACAGCACCCCCTAGTGCATCGGTCAGTGACAGGCCAGGGTATCGGTCACAGGCCTGCAGCCCCACCACAACCTGGATCGCCAAAGAGGGCGCAGGTGAGGAATTGAGCATCATCACTTCAGCAACTTGCGCGCCAGACGTTACTCTAGCTGAACCACAGGTGTTTTCGCCATCCTCTGCAACTACTTCCCCTGCTCAGCTGTCTTACATCACAGAAACTTTGCCGCTAGACAACACAGTTGAAATTACATCAACAACAATGGCGACAGTGTTGATGAAGCCACAGGTTCAACAACCTAGTCCCAGAGCGTCACCACCTTTCGACCAACCACCACAGGAAGAAGTGGTAGTAAGGGTCAGTGGTGAAGATGGGATGGGGGAGGACACAGAATCAGCTCCCCCTCAGAGGAGCCACTGGAGCCGTTATTTCCTGATTGACCTCTTAGCGGTGGCCGTTCCTGTAGTTCCCACACTGGCGTGGCTTTGCCGGGGGCCGCGGAATGAAGGCATGCCAGTGTACAACATGGGCTCCCTGTTGCGCGGCTGCTGTGCCGTTGCGCTGCACTCTTTAAGACGGGTTGGCCGCGGTCCCTCAGGAACAGGAAGAGCAACACCAATCTGATAACTTTAGCATTACCGTACCATCAAAGACTTTTAACTGGATCTTGAGTGGACTCTTTGTCCTTGATTTTCCCAGTAGTTAGTTTGTTTTTTGAACCAAGGAGGCCTAAATCCGTCACACCAATGCTTGTTTGGGACAAAGATCGAGGGAATGTGGCCCTAATTTGCACAGGCACTCACAAGTTTCAAGGCTATTGCTCATTTCCACCATTTGTTTTTCATTTCCTCCCATTCCTGGACGAAACTCAGCAGGCAGTACACAGTCAAAAGTAGCTGCAAACAAGAGACAAGCTGAGCAGAGAAGTCACAATGTACAGAAATTTAGGCTTTAAAATTATATATTTATATATATTAAACCTCTTGAAACATCATTCTTATGTAAACTGTTTTACTGAATTCATTCTGCTCTCATTTCCTGAGTTAGGCCAGTTCACAAGAAAATTTAGCATGAGACTTTAGCTAGGTTACATAGACATTGGTGAAAATTGTTCTTCATGAGAAGAGGAAATTTCAGGTCCATAGCTCAAACAAATTAGCAAGGCTAGGCTTTCAAATTTTAAACCTTTACAAACCTGCTTCTAAGAAATCATTGTGCCAATCGCATTTCACGAGAAACACAACTTTTCACAATTATAGGCAAAATTACATTTGTTTAAAAGGGAAAAATAATATTAAATGGTAACTGCACAAGAATCAATAGGCACCCTGTAACTTTGATGTTTGGATCTCTGAATAAACTTACATAGAACTAAAAAACACTGATCCTATAACATGAAAGTATTTTTACTAATGTGGAGTGTTTTACGGATCAGTATTCTGTTGTCATTCTGCACTTTTCTACTAAAAGGTAAGCGTTAGTTGTTTTATCACTTACATACGTGCATTAATAATATGAGCAAAAAGAAACTGCTTAACTTTTTTTGTTGTTTATTATTCATGGAATTGTAGAAAATAATTTAAAAAAATGCCAGGTTTCATTGATAAAGCAATGGAAGGTGATGGCTTAAAATGAATTTATTAATCTGTCCTTTGGGTGGTAGGTTTTTCTGCTCTTTTAAACTCAGTCTCAGGTGGAACTCAGGTGAATAGAACTAGAGAGGATGTAAAATTAGCGGAATCCAATGTCAAAACGTTCATTTATTACAAAAAACTAAGGTTTATATAGAAGAACAATAGTTGTGAAAATGTAGATTTACTCATAAATAATAGATTTTTTGATGACCATCACTTCCCAAAACAAATAGGTCTTTAACTGTTGCATGCAGATTTGAGTAAACTCTATTTGGGAAATACTAATTCATGAGTTTGTAAAGCAAAGTATTCTGTTTCTTTGAAGTAGCACCAACGAAGAAGAAAAAAACCCCCAGGATAATCATGAAGTTCCAGCAATTACTTTAAGGGCTTAGATTGCTTGTTAGCACAATAATTCCTTGTAGTTAATTACCAGTAAACTTGTTCCAAATAGCCATTCACATAAAGAACTCATCCTAATTTGAAGAGTCTCATTGCAAAATATGATTGTGTGTTTAGACAGAGCCCATCAACATTCAACCCTAATTGTAAATTTTGATTGTTTACTTCAGCCGCCCCTTGAAAATAAGAGTTTAATTAAAACGACGAAGCTTCTGTTTTGCTAATGACTTTTTTTTTTTTATTTACACTGTCCTCACTTAAAGCAAAACACTGATACAAAACAATTACAAGCAATCAGAACATAATTGATGTTTAATATTTAGTTATGCAGAGTGGGATTTAGACCAATGTGATTTAATTGTGGGTGGGGCCCCAAATGACTGACTAAATTACCACCATTCGTCGTCGTATCTGACATGATTATAACGACACGCCTGCAAACACACCATTTCAGTTTCTCAATCAACACAGAGACCAGCTTCATCTTTTTATAAACAATTTATTTTCAAGTAGTTTTGTTTTATACTTAACCAGATTTCCCCACCAGAGTACTTGTTACCAGCTCAGCCACAACCCTGTTGCTGTGATCGCGTTTACAACACAGAAATCAAATATAAAACGAGAGAAGGAAATGGGGGAGAGAAAAAAAAAAAGAAACTTGTCTTAATGAACGTCTAATAATTGAGAGGATACCAGTGATTGTGTCAAGGAGAAAAGAAATAAAAAGGCAACAAAATATACAAATGCAAAACAGAGCTAAGCTAAGTGGTATCGCTATTAACACTAGCCCCTTTTGAGGATCACGTGCATGGAGCAATGTTCCTTAAAAAGGTTGACCTGGAAGAAAACAGAGAGAGGTTTATTAAACAACTAAACCGTGTTCCTCAAAGGCCATACATACATACGATTACGAGGGTTTAATCTAAGAGCCTGTTAAATAAACTCTACAGGACATCTAAGACCAAGACAACAATAAATCTCCTTTAAAGATTATCGGTTAGTTATTCAAGTGATCCATGCAACTGGAGGAACTATCTACAATGATAAAGTATTTGTTTTCAGGTGTCATGCAGTTATTAAATACTAAGTAACAAGAACAAACTCAAAAGAGACATGTGACAAACTTTGCACCTACCCTGAAAGAATGAATAGGGAATAACCTGAGTCCAAATGTGGGGGCTTTACTCCAAGCCCATCAGCTCCACGTCAAATATGAGCGTTGCGTTGGGAGGAATGATGCCCGGGTGCCCCTTGCTCCCGTAAGCAAAGTCCGGAGTGCAAGTCAGCTTGGCACGCTGCCCCACACTCATCTGTCACAAGGGGGAGAGGTCATTTGACCAATTTAAGTATAGTACGAAACAATGAATGGAGGTTCAAAGAAGTGACACCACTTGGTTATAAGAACCACAATAGACAGCTTGTGTATTTGTATGCTCAAGCGAAAAGGGAAATTTTCAAAATTAGGCCGAGACCTATTTTATGAACAGACGGTGTGCCTTTCGATAACCGCACAATGCAGGTCAGGCAGATTTATATTGCAAATCAAACCCATTTTTCAGAGGATATCAAAAATAATGTGTTTTATAACATTACCTGGGCTACGCCCTCATCCCAACCACGGATCACTTCCTGTTTGCCAATTTTGAATTTGAAAGGCTTTCCTCGGTCCCGGGAGGAGTCGAACTTGCGCCCATCTGTCAGAGAGCCTGAGAAAAACACAGAATTAACACAGATATGAATGAAGAAGCTAAGTCAACCTGCACACGCACAATTTCACATTGCCAAAAAAAATGAACATTTTTCATTCATTCACCGTAAGCGTCAAATATTAAAACGGCCTTCCGTGGATTAGGGATGGGCGATACCCCTTATTTTGTTTTCGATACCGATATTTTTTAAGGCAGTATCGTCGATATCGATTCGATACTTCTGCACTAAACTTTTAAATTATGAAATGTATTAAATTAAAATGGGTAACGAAAACCACTCTGTATTTAAAACGCATTTTAACCCGTTTAATCCCAAATTTTTCCCAGACATGAAAATATCCAAATGACGTGTCATTAGTAACACTAAAACTTTTTTTTGGGGGGGGGGGGGGGGGGGTCCACTTCTATTTTTT